GAGGTGGGGGAGTGGATTGGTGGGGGGCGGGAGAGGCGGGGACCCCACCACGCATAAAAGACGGTATGCTCGCCTGTTGAGAACAAGGATTTCAACAACAAGTGACGAGATCATCGGCCATCATCATTATCATTATTTGTCATAATCGGTAGGATTGTTGTTTTAATTGACGTGATAGATACTCCGACGTTGCTTTGTTATTTTGCTGAGCTGAGATTCTAGCAAACGAATAAGCGACAAACGGGTGAGTTCTAGAGAACATCGCCATCGCCACGACCATCATCATCATCATGTCCGGCAGCATCGTGATCATGATCAGAATCACCATCATCACCAGCGTGATGATAACCATCAGTATCAACATCATCATCACCATCATGACCGGCAATATCATCATCAACATCATCATCACCATCATCACTATTACAGGTAACATCGTGATCATCATCATAATCTTCACCTGCAGAATGATGATGATGATGATCATCAACATCATCATCAAAATCACCATCATCATCATTACCGGCAGCATCATGATCAGCATTATCATTATCACCACCATCATCACCATCAAAGGGGAGCATCATTATGATTATGATGATGATTAGCGGCAGAATAATTGATATTATTACCATGAAGGATCTTAGGCTTCGGGGAAGTGTGCTGGATGAGGTTTGAGTGTCGGGTGTTATGGATTCTGCGACGTGATATAGCCACGACTACCACCCAATCTGGAGGCAGCTGCACCACACCTGTTCGAATGAGTGAGTGTGAGTGGAGTTTGTATGATCTTCCCCTGTTCTACAGAGTGAATGAGTGGAGTTTGTATGGTCTCCCCCTGTTCTACAGAGTGAATGAGTTGTATGATCTCCCCCTGTCCTACAGAGTAAGTGGGGTTTGTATGATCTCCCCGTCCGACAGTAAGAGTGAGTAGAGTTTGTATGATCTCCCCCTGTTCTACAGAGTGAATGACTGGAGTTTGTATGATCTCCCCATGTTCTACAGAGTGAGAGTGAGTGGAGTTTGTATGATCTCCCCCTGTTCTACAGAGTGAGAGTGAGTGGAGTTTGTATGATCTCCCCCTGTTCTACAGAGTGAGAGTGAGTGGAGTTTGTATGATCTCCTCCTGTTCTACAGAATAAATGAGTGTAGTCTGTATGATCTCCTCCTGTCCTACAGAGTGAGATTGAGTGGAGTTTGTATGATCTCCCCCTGTTCTACAGAGTGAATGAGTGGAGTTTGTATGATCTCCCCATGTCCTACAGAGTGAATGGGTGGAGTTTCTATGATCTCCCCGTGTTGTACAGAATGAAAGTGAGTGGAGTTTGTATGATCTCCCCATGTTCTACAGAGCAACAGTGAGTGGCGTTTGTACGATCTCCCCCTGTTCAATAGGGTGAGAGTGAGTGTAGTTTTAATGATCTTCCCCTGTTCTACAGAGTGAGAGTGAGTGGAGTCTGTATGATCTCCCCTTGTTCTAAAGAGTGAGAGTGGAGTTTGAATGATCTCCCCCTGTCCTACAGAGTAAGTGGGGTTTGTATGATCTCCCCGTCCGACAATAAGAGTGAGTAGAGTTTGTATGATCTCCCCATGTTCTACAGAGCGAGAGTTAGTGGAGTTTGTATGATCTCCGCTTGTTCTAAAGAGTGAGAGTGAGTGGAGTTTGCATGATCTCCCCCTGTTCTACAGAGTGAGAGTGAGTGGAGTTTGTATGATCTCCTCCTGTTCTACAGAGTGAATGAGTGTCGTCTGTATGATCTCCCCCTGTCCTACAGAGTGAGATTGAGTGGAGTTTGTATGATCTCCCCATGTTCTACAGAGCAACAGGGAGTGTATGATCTCCCCCTGTTCTACAAAGTAACAGTGAGTGGAGTTTGTACGATCTCTCCATGTTCTACAGAGCGAGAGTGAGTGGAGTTTGTATGATCTTCCCCTGTTCTACAGAGTGAATGAGTGGAGTTTGTATGATCTCCCCCTGTTCTACAGTGAGAGTGAGTGGAGTTTGTATGATCTTCTCTTGTACAACAAAGTGAGAGTGAGTGGAATTAGTATGATCTCCCCCTGTACTACAGAGTGAGAGCCAGTGCAGTTTGTATGATCTCACCCTGTTCTACAGAGTGAGAGTGACATCACTTGCTGATATCCAGTAGTATCTATAAACGCTGGCACGGCACACGAGGGGGTGGGTGGCCAACACCACGCCGCCTTTGTCTCCTCAGTGGCGATGTTTACACACTGCACCAGTTACTCATTTGAGGCTGAGTCGACCTAGGGAAGGCCCACGAAAGATTCAGATAATCGTCACTGGTGTTGGCCGTGAGCGGGAATCGAACTTGGGTGGCCAGGTTAGTAGCGCAGCGTAGCGCTAACCGCTACACTACTGCTCCCCGCTCACACACCCACACGTGCACAAAGTGTCACACTCACAGATCCGCACACACACTCACACAGTCACTCAGATCCAGATACATACAGATCCGTACGCACACAATCACACAGTCACTCACAGATCCACACACACAGATCCGCACACACACAGATCCACAGACACTCACTCAGTCACTCACAGATCTACACACACACAGATCCACACACACACAGTCACTGACAGATCCACACATAGATCCACCACACACAAACATTCAGTCACTCACAGATCCACACACACACAGATCCACACACACTCACACAGTCACTCACAGATCCACACACACACAGAGCCACACATTCACTCACAGTTCCACACACACACAGATCCACACTCACACAGTTTGCATGTCCTACCTGTGGTAGCGTGGATTTTTTTCTGCGCAATTATAACCGTGCGTTTAGACTACTTTGATTATTTTACTGCTGTAAATGTCCAAATTATCGGTCACTTTGTTGAGCGGCTATCATTTGCAGTGGCCAGGTCGCTTTAGGGTGATACCTCAATGGGCTTTGCCCGATAGGATGGGGGATGGTTTGGTGTTGCATATGTATGTATCGGTTATTTACCTTTATTGAACTCCAATCATGTTTTTGTATTGTTTCTAGATTTGAAGCTTTCGTGACTGCAATGATTCATATTCTTAGGTTTTTTCAGTAAAGTTCCGTAGGTAAAAAAGTTTAAGTTAAAATTAATAAAAGTAAAATAAAATAAAAAAAAAATCACGACGTTTCGGAGGCAACACAAGCTTCCGTCTTCAGGTGGAACCGTCACAGCACGACTGCTGCATCAAGTGAGAGAAATTCCAAGAAGACAGTCCTTGTATATTTATTGGTTGAGGGTGGGAGGAGCCATTGTGAGGTTCGGTGCGGCTGAAGCACATTGCAAGGAATGAGCCATTGTCGTGTAGACTGATTGAAATGGGAGGTTCCAAGAGTTGTTAAGGTGCGGCTGATGTAAAGGTGCGGCTGCTGTGAATGGGACTGAGCCTTTGTTATGTAGATGAAACCGCACTTTTGCTACGTTGCTGGGATTAATTCTAGATTTGCCAAATGTGTGATAAAATTTAAAGCAGGAAAACCAGTGTGTGAAAAAAGGAAGAAGAAGCTATATGGTAACTGAAGAATAGTGTCTGTCCAATAAGATGGTCCAAATATGTGTAGTTTAAATCTTTTTTGCATGGTTAATAACATCTTTCCAATGATTACTAAGTTTGTACCCATCATCACGGTTGAAATTATGTCTGTGTTTGTATATTTGGATGACTTCGTGTACAAACCTTTGATGGTAGCCAGGAGGTTTGCAGAGCACCTTAGTCTCGGAAAAGTCAATTGTGTTTGTAACATTCTTACCCTGTGCCCATACTGAACATTTGTGAAAAATAGCTTTGTAGCTCATCGGATTCCTCCAAATATTCTGATTCTGACCTCTGGCGACGATGTTTTCTGACAACGAATTGACGTCACGGAAAACGCATGTGCTTGAAAATTAATAATAGCTTTTTATCCTTTCTGGCAATGACACAGGAGGTGTTAAGATGTTCAAACACCAAATAGATACCTTTTGTAAGGAATTAAGTCTGGATTAATCACTCGTACTTGTGGTGAACATGTAAACAAACATGAATTCTAGATTTGAAGTTGTTTTTGTGACTGCAAGGGTCCATATTCTTTGTTTTTTTCGGTAAAGTCACGTAGGTAAAAAAATATATTAAATCACGCCGTTTCAGAGGCAACACAAGCTTCCGTCTTCAGGTGGCACCGTCACAGCAAAATTACTGTAGTATTAAAGCAACCAGTTTGTCAGCTTAAATACTGCCTCTTGGTTATCAGTCACCTCCCTTTTGTAACCACTTACCATCGCCTACACATGGCGCCCTCCCCTAACCCCCTGCAGCATAACAAAATGAGGCTTAATTTAACCCTCCCCCACGGCCCATCCTGGCTCCTCCCCCCCTCCCTTAATCTGTATATAGTCTCGTGTTTTATAGTTCTCACCACTTGATACAGTAATTTTGCTGTGACGGTGCCACCTGAAACGGAAGCTTGTGTTGCCTCCGAAACGTCGTGATTTAATTCTTTTTTACCTACGTGACTTTACCGAAAAAACCAAAGAGTATAAACAAACATGCTCTGATAATATATGGGCATTGTTTTTGATTCAGATTGGCCTTACACCAGAGACCGCCTTCTTTATGGCCTAGTTTCACCAGTGTCAGATTAGAGAGTGCCGAAAGGTGAACAGTATGAAGAGAATGCGCGTATCAGAATATTTTGAAGCTCAGGGTGAACAGCCATATCGTGGGACCTTCATTCCAGCATTAATACTTTGATACTGGAAAAAATATCACGTGATATGCATCTGATTCTTTCACAGCGGTATCCAGCGGAACGTGCGAACTAAGCACTCGCTCAAGCTTGATCCCTCCCCCCCCTCCCACAGTCCCACCCTCGAGTTTTTGGGAGAAGCAAAGGGGAGAGGAGTCACGTGGGAGGGGACAGTGGCAGCAGTGGCCGCCATTTTCCTGCTCGCAGCAAAGGCCGCCATTTTTCTGCTCGCAGCAAATTACAAAATGGAGGACGGCCCCAGGCCCAACGTCTCCGCACCCCTCCTCGTCGCCGTTGCGACGGACCTCATCCGCATCCAGACGGTGTTCCGCGAGCCGCCCACCGTCAGGCGATTCGTGTTCGCCTTCCTCCTCCTCGTCTACGCCCTCACGCTGGTGGCCAATTCACTGCTGTGCCTCGCCATCGCCCGCGACCGTCGACTGCACAAGCCCATGCACCTGCTCGTCGCCGCACTGGCCCTCACCGACCTGGTGGAGAACACCAACGCACTGCCGCGCACGATGTACGACCTCGTCGGCGATGCTCCCTATATCTCGGTGCCCTGGTGCATTGCCAAGATGTTCACCTACCACGTGTCCTTCCGCGTGCATGGCTACATCCTGGCGGCCATGGCTGCCGACCGTTACCTGGCGGTGTGCCGACCGCTCGCCTACCGCAGTGCGGCATCCAACGCCATTGCACTCAAGGCCCTGGCCTTCGCCGTCGCGCTCGCCGCTGCCCAGGGCCTCGGCTACGTCGCCATCGCGGTTAATCTCGACCTGTGCAAGCCGCGCTCGTTGCTGACATCCACGTGCGACTTCCTGGCCCTGAGAGTGCTGTCCTGCAACCACGTCGCCCTCGGGCAGGCGTACACCTTCGCCATGTCGTTGGTGGGCATAGCGCTTCCTCTGTGCGCCATCGCGGCTTTCTACGCGCTCGTCCTGCACGAGTGCCGCAAGCCGGCCCTCCGCCGCGGCCGGAACAAGGCCCTGCGCACATGCGGCACCCACCTCCTGGTGGCGGCCGTTTACTTCAGCGCCATCCTCGCGACGTTCGCCAGCGGTGCGGGGGGCGGCACCCCCTCGTCTGCGGCATCGCCGGAGCTGAGCGTGTCGCTCCAGAGCCTGCAGTTCGTCCTGCCGCCGGTGCTCAACCCCATTGTCTACGGCCTGCGGACGGCCGAGGTGAAGGAGAGCCTTGTCAGGTTCTTGCGGAGCCGGGTTAGTCCTGGGAAGCCTCTCCCCCCTCTGCAGGAAGATACGAGAATCGGGTAGCTCTCTCAACTCCCTGCAGGATGCACAATACCACGTACACACAGATGCAAAAATAACACTCGACCTCCTCGATGGTGCCGGACAATAACGCTGTGGTTGATGTGAGCAATGCCATATGAGGAATGGCCAATTCCAATTGGCTTTTCTCCTCATGGCGCTTGTAGCCACCACGGCGGCCAATGGGGTCTCTGGACGGGTGCGAGGGGCTGGTAACCCCTCTCTACTTGGGCAGGAGACTGCCAAACAAAAACAGGAAGGGGGCATGGGAGCATGGAAGTCATGTTTGGGAAGCTGTAAGCCCCAGGCCACTGTGGGCTCGCCTTCCTATCAACAGGAGTTGAGGGATGATGGTGGTTGCTTATGTCCCTACAGAAGGAGGAATGCAGGCAAGGCCGATGTGTCAGATGCCTTCTATGACACTCTTTGGTTCTTTCAGTAAAGTCATGTAGGTATAAAATAAAATGAATCACGACGTTTTGATCGCAACACAAGCGGTCGTCCTCGGCCATAAAAAATATAATCCAGCAGTGGAACTGCTGAACAAGCGAGAGAGCAGTTACAACAAGGCTATATATGTGCTAAGAGAAGGTGGCGTTTGTGTGCAGACTGCACTATATGACATCATAATAACAGTGTTTAAGAAGGGAGACTGCACAGACTGTAACAACTAGAGGGGAATCTCTCTTTTCAGTTTGCCGGGAAATATTCTGGCAAGGATTATTCAACATTGCTTAGCCAGGTACGCTGAGGAGAGGCTTGCGGAGACCCACTAGTTTCACCCCAGGGCGGTCCTGCACAGACGTCATATTTTCTGTCAGTTTGCTACAGCAGAGGTGTAGGGAATTCCAAAAGGACCTACATCTCTGCTTTATTGACCTGGCCAAGGATTGTGATACCATACAAAGGCCTGGGCTCTAGGTTTTTCTCCATCCTTTCGGAGTTCCTGACTCTCTGCTAACAATATTTAAGGACCTTCATGATTGTGGGCTGGCCCGGGTAAAGATGCGTGGCCAGGAATTGGAGCCATTCCCTGTTCACCTTGGGGTTCGACATGGATGTCCTCTGGCTCCCACATTATTTAAAAAAAGCTTGACCACGTAGTTGGAGAAGCCTCCATCCCTGTACTGGAGGAATCTCCATCTAGTACAGATACAATAGGAGTCTGATCGATGCCCGGGTGCGGTCAACCATGTTACGTATGCCGATGATCTGGTGATGGCTGCTCACTCAGCGAAAGAGTTGGAGGCGCTGCTGCTAAACCTAGAGCATGCCACGACGAGGTCGGGTATTATCATCAGCCCCTCTAAAACTAAGCACCTGCCTGGGTATTGTGTGCCATAAAACACTCCACCCCCTCAGCTTCCCATTGGTTGTGGAGAGAGTGGAGAGTTTTTCATACCTGGGCAGTGTGCTTAAGACAGGCTCTGGTTTGAAAGCAGAATTCTCACTCCAAATCAGTCTAGCGGCATTATATTTTCATCGACTGGATTACGCTGTGCGGAAGCTACCTGGTCTGCCACTCCACTCAAAGCTTCGGGTCTTCTCGGCAATGATCATCCCCTCCCTTCTGTATGCTTGTGAAACGTGGACCCCCCCTAATGGAACATCTTCAGCAATAAGAAACATTCAGGCTGACCTGCCTACAATCCTTCCTGGGTTTATCCAGGCTGGCTAATAAATCCTTGAAATATTTGGACAAAGTCACATCGGTGAGCTCCTCCGGGGGCACATCGTCAGATTTGTTTAGAAAAGTAAATCATTGACAACACAAATTAAGCATGGGGCATGTAAGTTACAATTTATTTTGTTTCATACTATATTTTTATTTCTGTAAAAGTCACGTATATAGAAAAAAATAATGATAACAATAAAATAATACATATAAAAATGAAAAAAAGTGAATAAAAAACGATACAATTTTTTTTTTATTATTTTCAGTTTTTATAAACTTTATTTTCATTTTTATTATTTTATTGTAATAATGTTTTAATATCTCGCACGCCTCCGCTTCTGCCGGGGGCACATCGTGTTATCGTCTATGTGCGACTTCTCGGCCGTGCGCCGGCTCATGTGCGGCGAGGCGAGCTACGAGGCGCCAGTCGTCTACGCCAACATCCTCCTGGGCACCGCGCTGCCGCTGGGCGCCGTCGCGGCCTCCTACGCGCTCATCCTGCGCGAGTGTCGGGGGCCGCGACTCCTCGGCAGGCGCCGGAGGATGTTGAGCACGTGCATCACGAACCTGCTCCTCGTGATTCTAGATTTGAAGCTTTCGTGACTGCAAGGATTCATATTCTTAGGTTTTTTTTCTCCCAGTTCAACCAGTCTACACAACAAAGGCTCATTCCTAGCAGCGGTTTAAGCCGCACCACCTCTACATAACAAAAGCTCAGTCCCATTTACAGCAGCCGCACCTGTACATCAGTCGCACCTTAACAACTCTTGGTACCTCCCATTTCAAGCACTCTACACAACAAAGGCTCTTTCCTAGCAGCGGTTTAAGCCGCACCACCTCTACATAACAAAGGCTCAGTCCCATTTACAGCAGCCGCACCTTTACATCAGTCGCACCTTAACAACTCTTGGTACCTCCCAGTTCAAACCAGTCTATAAAACAAAGGCTCATTCCTAGCAGCGGCTTTAGCCGCACCAACTTTACAATAATAGTTATATCCAGGGGCCTGCCTTGGCACCTTCCCCCCTCAACCAGTATATATACAAGGACGGTTTTCTTGGAATTTCTCTTACTTGATACAGCAATCGTGCTGTGACGGTTCCACCTGAAGACGGAAGCTTGGGTTGCCTCCGAAACGTGGTGATTTGTATTTTATTATTATTTTACTTTTATTAATTTAAAATTTTTACCTACTGCTCCTCATGCTCTACTTGCAAGTGATTTGTGAGTCGGTGAATTCCAGAGAAACGATGAATATAATAATGGTGTTTAGAACAGTGCTTCTTAACCTGGGGTCGTGTAGTGTATAGTATTGTCTCGTGTAGTATATGGCATAGTGTGTATTGTAGTGTATAGTATTGTATAGTGTAGTAGAGAGTAGTGGGTAGTGTATAGTCGTGTAAAGTGTAGTGTATAGTCGTACAAAGTGTACTGCATAGCAGTGTACAGTGGAGTGTATAGTGGAGTGCATAGTGTAGTGTAAAGTAGTGTATAGTGTAGTGTAAAGTGTAATGGTTCTTAACCTCGGATGGCGGGTCCATGCAAGACATTGCCAGATTTGTAAATTATTGACAACACAAATTAAGCATGGGGCACGTAAGTTACAATTTATTTTGTTTCATACTCTATTTTTATTTCTGTAAAAGTCACGTAGATAGGAAAAAAATAATGATAACAATAAAATAATAAAAATGAAAATGAAAAAAAAGTGAATAAAAAAGTTTTTTTTTTCATTTTTCATTCGCTTTATTTTCATTTTTATTATTTTATTGTTATGTTTTTCATTCTACATGACTTTACCGAAAGAACCATAGAATATGAATTCCTGCCGTCACAAAAGTTTCAAGTCTAAATGTATTTAGTTTCGTCAATGTCCGTGTTTATTAACATAATACTTTTTGTGTTACTATTGCGAACCAAAGGGATGCAAGGCTGCAAGTGAAGGGTAAGAATCACTGGGTTATAAAGTTCTTATTTTGATTCTTAGTAATTCCTTGCTTGTTTGGACCGAATGTAGAAAATGGCTGTTCCGCTACGTTGCCTTGTGACGTCATCACCACAGCACTCACATTTCCTGTTGTCAGCCATTTTAAAGCATTAAAATAATACAAAAAGATGTGCTTACGTGTGAACTTCTTTCGCACCGTACGTAGCCAACCGTGCTATATGTATACGTATGCGTAATGGTTCTTAACCAGGATGGGCTCGTGACACATTGCACTACCACTACATTCTCACACACTGCATTGAGTAAGTGGCTGAGTGAGTGAGTGGCTGAGTGAGTGAATGGCTGCGTGAGTGAGTGGCTGAGTGAGTTTCTAATTGAGCGAGTGATTGGTTGAGTGAGTGAGTGAGTGGCTGAGTGAATGAGTGGCTGGCTGGGTGAGTGCAGTGGCTGGCTGGGTGAGTGCAGTGGCCTGGCTCACCAAAATGCATACGAACGCAAATAAAAACACAAACTGAAAGAAAATCTGACATAAGTGCAGCCACAAAGCGTCACTGGTTCACGTATCTCGCTGTCCCATCTCCCCCTCTCTCCATTTTCTCAGTCGTTCCCTGGCTATTCCTGAGCACCGGCCATTTCGGAGAGAGCAGGAGACACGTGCCACCCTCTTGCATCCCTGTGCACCCACCGTCTCCCCCTGGTGCCCCAACCACCTTCGCCACTAATTGCTAATTTGCTCCTTGCACAACGACGCGTTCCCCTCGGCACACCAACAACAACCACCACCACTACCACACTCCACAACAACCACCACCACACCCCACAACGACGACGACAACTCCCACGCAACCACCGACCCTGTATTCCCTTGAGATGTTGTGTTCGGACGGGAGGGATGGGGTGGAGGAGGGAGGTGGGTGGAGGAGGGAGGTGGGGGGAGATGGGTGGTGGGGGCTTTGGTGGTGGGGGGAGGTGGGGGAGTGGATTGTTGGGGGGGGGTAGATGGGGGTGGGGGGGGTTTGGTGGTTGTGGGGGGAGTGGATTGGTGGAAGGGAGGGGGTAGATGGGGGGTGGGGGGAGGTGGGGGAATGGGTTGGTGGGGGGGTAGATTAGTATGGGTGGGGGGGTGCGGGGAGGCGGGGAGGCGGGGAGGTGGGGGAGTGGATTGGTGGGGGGAGGGAGAGGCGGGGACCCCACCACGCATAAAAGACGGTACGCTCCGAGTCGCCTGTTGAGAACAAGGATTTCAACAGCAAGTGACGAGATTGTCGTCCACCACCATCATCATCATCATTATTTGTCATCATCGGTAGGATTGTTGTTTTAATTGACGTGACCGAAACTCCGACGTTGCTTTGTTATTTTGCTGAGCTGAGATTCTTG